AAATAAGAAAACTAAAGTGATACGTAATTTAATTGCAATACTTTACCTTGCTCCTCTTTGTGATACACCTCATTAGCGGACGTGTATGTTCGGACATTATGGTTTACATTGGCAACTTCAGATGTACTTGCACCTCTTTTTGATTTATAATTGTGTATTCCTTAGTGCCAGCCAACCTCTCCATTTGGAAAAAGCAGAGGATATTGGAGTGGGTCATAGCAACCATAATAATGTTTGACTCTATGTTTGTTGTCGGAATGCTCATGAACAATAATCTCTCTATCGAATGATACATTTGGATTGTTTCCATCTACCCAAATTGCAGCAATTTGATCTACCGATGGTTTGTTGTAGACACGTTGATCCAGTGTAGCATTAGCAGCAATTCGAATTTGTAAATCTTGGAAGCTTGAATGATCCTTTAGCTGGCAAAGGAATTGTGCATAAGGATTCCCATCCATTAGCTGCCTAATTTTTGTCACAACTTCCTCAGATAAGTTGGCTTCTTGCAATTTTGAAATCCGATTGCATAATTCATTGTCCGCGTCAAAAAAATTATAATTGAAAATAACATGGATTATCCTCACGTGGAAGCAATGATGGAAGATTGTGATAAATTTGACCTTGTGCCTTAAAGGTGTAAACTCCTTTCCTTGAAGATGCAAGTTCTTTGTCAAGTCTAACACCAAAAGACATAAATGCAAATATACTATTATATGCTCTAATGTTTCGACGGAACTCTTTTGCTTCGTCTGACTCGTCAACAAGTAACTCGTATAATTGTATTGGAACTTCAGTATTTACCAATCTTACTGATCCCTCCCCGCAACAAAATGTTGGAGTTTCATGTTGAAACCTCATAGCGTGACAATGAATACAATCGGGAACATTTTCCAACTTTTGAGTACAGGATGTAGATGGTTTAGAGACAATTCACCTATATTTATGTAGCCAAATGTTATGAATAGTAGAAGGTAATAACTCGAACACAAATAATATATAAGTAATTTTGCTGGATAATTTAGTACTGCATATTACCTTCAATTTCACACTCTTTTGATAGAGCCTTCAAAAACCAATTTATCCTGCGTTGCTTCCTTGGTCTTCTTCTTCAATATCAATATCTTCCATTGATTGAGTCAAGATTTCCCAAAAATAAGAAGCATATTTTAGATCCAAAGTAAATTCTACTAATTATATTTCAAAAAATTGACGACATGCAAAGGTTTATAAATAGAAGAAGAAAAAAAAGACAAGGTCCTTAAAAAAATTATGGCAAAAATGACGAAGGTATCAGTGAAAGCTAAATATGAGAGTGACAAAGCCGCCGCTACCGGCGCTGCAACTATAGCATTCAACGCCGGTGATTTTAACCTCCGTGCTTCTATGACCGATGCTACCGTAGTCAATGGTCCAAGCTTAAATGGCTTATCTGTCTGAATAATTGGTATCCTACATGGACACCTGCAGAATAGGTTATATGAAGAGACAAGGTGCATGAGGACTTGTTCCATTTGAGCATGAAAAACTTAAAATGGTCAATGACCATACTATTAAGATGGACTCCACATGCTGATACGTTATGTTTTTCAAAGGCAAACTTCTCAAGCATTTTTGACATTCTTCTATGGTCAATGGTTATACTATATATGTCAGCATGGAAAAGCATCCACAAGAAATGGCTAGTTTTAATTTCAGATGGTAAAACAAAACATTTAATGCACAATATATCAATCACCGACAAATATCAAACATGGACCATTTTTTGTTATGGTGTGAAGTCATATATGTTTTCTTGTAATTCTTTCTTTTCAAATTATGATCGGGCTATTCTATTATAAGTTTGGCTGTTTCCTTCCATTAATTATATGCACATCCTCTTAGAAAATATAATACGGAAACATTCATATTTTTAGTATTATAATATTGTATATGGTAAATGTAACTGATTTTGATATATACTTAGATTTTTTTGTGTAGTCGTTCAAATAAGGAAAACTTTAATAAGTAAAGTTTTAGTTGACTTTAAAATACTAAATATTAGAAAAATAATTAAATGACTATTTTGTCTAGTGTGAACTTTATTTTAAAAGGGTAAAAAAGATGAACAACATTTCGCTAAGGGCCTTCGTGCTTTTAATATAGTATAACTAAGTAAAGGGTAACGAATTTATAGTAGGATTTTAGATGGATAATGGTCCCAACAATTAAATTGATTTATGCTATAATGAATTAGAATTTCATTTGCAGAAGTTGCAGTAAATAAACATTTTTAGCCTATAATATTTTAGTGGAGCAAAAATTATTTAAAAATAATTAATACACATGCATGAATAAAAGTGATTATGTATTGATCTGATGTAATAAGTTAAAATATGCAACTTGAAGTGAATTTTGCCAAGGAAACAACTACAGGCTAATAGTAATTTTACCTGAATTTTGTTCTTCATATATATTGTTGTTTCCATAATTTGACTTTGACGCATGTAAAGCATTATATTTTCTAAATCTCCGAATCGCATAAGAAACATTGCCTTGATCTATACATATAGAAAGAAATGTTTTTTTAAAAATTAATGCAGCAATTAACAAAATTATAAAGAACATAATTTGTTAATTATGTTTATATGTACCTTGTTTTGCCATATGTGGTTAATGAATCATAGCCTGTGAAATACAATTAGTAGTTAATATCGTATTCTAATTCAGCTAAAACACACATAGTACAAAGAATACACCGAGTAAAATTGATATTTAAATATTATATATGCTATGCCAGCAAAAGTTGTTCCTTATTATTTAAAAGAAAATAGAAACTTCAACAATCAATAACTATCTAGAATACGGGGAAAAAAGAGCTTATATTTCTTAGAGAATGCAACAATACTAATCCTTTTCAATTTTGACTTTTTTTGCAAATTATTGGGTTGTTGATGTCTTCTTCGACTTTTTTGGTCTTCTTGATTCCTGTTTCCGTTTGTATCTCTTCATCTATTTCAATTGCAGCAATTTTTTCAACTTCCTGTATCTCCTCCGCAATAAATCGTCTTCCATCTCGATCGCCACCATTTTTGGAATCAATTTTGACAAGAAAGGTGAACTCTTTTTCCCGACTCAACACCAATTTGCGATAAAATTTGGATTCTTCTTTCTGTACAAAAAAAAGAGTAAATTAGTTAAGATTGAATAAGGTATTCAAACCACATAAATGTCACTAATTTGTATATTTTGTAATGGTGTAATCAAGAGATAATCTGACCTTTTGAGATATTGATTGTATATACGTTGTAACATCACAACCAAGCAAGTATCTTGTAGATTCAAACAGTGTAACATAACAACGTTCTTTCTTATCAAACACCTCAAGCTTTAGAATATACCTACAAATTCATAAATAATCAAACAATTAGCTCATTTATTGATATGTGAAAATGTAGAGAAAGAATTAATTTTTTTTATGTGTTTTACTTTTCCTGGTAATCAACATTCTCGACGCCACAACGATGACATTTTGCAATATTATTTATAACGTCCACTTTCTTGTAACATTTCTTGCAAGAAGAATACCATGGTTCGTCTTTGTTCATTATATCTTTTATTCTTGCATTAAATTTAAAATATGTATCCTGCAAATAAATATAAAAAAATAGGTTAAATAGGTCATTTTTAAAAAGTATAAATATTAAGTAGTTGGAATAATTTACCTCTTTATTGTCGAACGAATCATCTTTGATGTCCTCAATCTTTACTTCTCGAGCATTTTTCAGTTGTATACTTGGTAATAAACTAATATCTATGTTTTTTGCCTTTTTATAGTCATGCCTGCATATTGTGTAATTAGTAAATAATAATAACTATATTTTACTAAGATTGCTTAAACTTAAAAGAAAAACTAAGCAAATATTACCATTTTTGGAGAGCTACCGCCTTTTCAAACTTTGGATTTATCATTATACTACTAATGTATGTAGTAGATATTGAAAAATTTCCTTCACAGATAAAAAAAGGTTAAATATAATAAAAAATTCTACAATTTACAAAAAATACCAAAGCTCTTGATATATTACCTCTATATGTTGTTTTCCTAACATCACATGCCGCAACGACATGTTTTTCATCAATCAATTTTTGTAGTACTTGACCGTCTATCTCTGAGAAATCATTCCATAAGGTTACAGTCTTTCTATCAACCCTGAAATTTACAATTAAATATATTAGACATTCATCTTAATTACGAAGAAACATTTAACATATTGAACTAAAACTACCAACTTACATCTCGTTGATAAGCACTATCTGTCACACCTCCTTTTTCCGCGCCCGCGAGGGGCGTAGGGAGTTTTCTCCAATTAAAGGACAGTCGAAACGGGATTTGTTTGTTTGTTTCAGAGTCGCCACTTAGGAGATTTAGGGTGTCCCAAGTCACCAATTTTAATCCCGAATCGAGGAAAAGAATGACTCTATTTAACAGTCTGCGCACCAGAAATCCGGATAAGGAATTCTGTTAACCCGGGAGAAGGTGTTAGGCATTCCCGAGTTCCGTGGTTCTAGCACGGTCGCTCAACTGTTATATTCGGCTTGATTATTTTGATTTGTTAAATACATTTTTATTGCATGATTTTATTGTTACCGCTTCTATTTAGATTTAAAGACCCTTCTTTGAATCGAATCACGCGTACGTATATTCGTGTTATAAATTATATTTTTAAAACATGCGGAGTTGTGTCACGCGCACGTGTACACAATAATATAGATAATATTTTTATTAAAATAATTATTTTCGAAATTATGCTTTAAAATAAATCAAGAACATTCGCCCTTTTGGTATGNAAGCGAATGCTAAAAAAAATGTTATAATCTATAAACCTAATCACCTTCTACATTACTTGTTTTTTAATCCAAAGTTGTAATCGTTTGGTTAATTTGTTTACAATGGTAGATAAGAATCAAGTTGATAAGAAAGAGAACTATTATA